TGTTCGCCAGCGCTTCCCTCGCATGGATCAAGATGTTTTTAATGCCAAGTTCCTACGCCCCCATGTGCGCAGGAAAGATCATTTGCAACAGCCTGTGGTTTCCCAACCTGTGCCTGGATTCTACGAAGTGGCTCGCATCCTCAATCATCGTCAACGTAATGGTGCGAAGCAATATCTGGTTCGATGGAAGGGATTTTCCTCCGCCGACGACACTTGGGAACCGGTTGTCCATCTCTCGCGTACACCGGCGCTCCGTCAGTTGCTTCAGAAATATGAACAGCATCGCACGCGTCAAGATGCTTCTGCAGCTTCTCATGGACAGCGGCAGCGGCGGCGTCGTGCGCCTCTCAATTAGGAATTTTACGTGCTGCGCCTGGAGCGTGTCAGAGGAAAAACAGATTTGACAAGCTGAGAAAGCGAAGTTTTCTGAGTCCGGAGCACTCCAAGAAAGCGCAGAGAAGAGCGTGTCAGAGCTCATAGGAACCGAGCCCGAGTCAGACAAAGGCCTATCAGGATGAAAGGACAGTTGGCTGTCTCGTACTCGTGTTTGAAGCTGACTTCTCCTGGATGACCCAGGATACTCTACTCCAGTGTGAAGCTGCTGAAAGGACCCCTGTGGAGGCCTTTGTTGCAGCAACCGTGTACCACAAGGTAAACAGAAGGGGTGCGTCTTGTGCAGTACGACCCGTTGGAAGCAGCTTGCTGCCATGCAAGGACGGGGTTCTCTTCCCTGCGAGAGAGCATGGTATCCTCTCGAAGGTCAGAAGGGATGCTTGTCAACTTCCAAGAACAGGATACCCCTCCTTTCTGTAGCCAAGAGACGGCACCCCTGGCTCATTCCTCGAAGCTATAAAAGGATGAAACTCGTCAGAGCTAGGTGGTCCTCTTCCCCTTTCGTGTGTGTGCCACGATTGTTGAGACGTCTTTGTGTGTATCGTCTTGTCTTGTTTTGTGTGTGTGTGTGAAAGAAATAAAAGAGAGTTAGATCTCCTTCTGTTTCACCGCTTTCCCTCTTAGTACTGTGACGCGCCCGATCCGTTCCATGAGCTCGGTAGGGACGGGAGGCGGAAAACTGTCGTCGAGGAGGTGATTGTTGACTCCTCGATAATCAATACAAAAACGAAATTGAGGGACTCCTTCAGAGGAAAGACCTTTGCGAACAAAGATGACGGGACTCTGCCACATGACATCATTGTTCCGCTCGATGATGCCGCGTGCCAACAAGAAGTCGATCGTTTTAGCGAGCTCCTCCTGGAGCGTCGCCGGAAGTCGGTAGGGACGACGACGAATTGGACGAACGTCATCAGGAACCCGAAGGACAACGTCATACTGCCCCCGCGAGACAGGTGGCTGGATTGGTAGTTCGTCCACCAGAACATCGGAAAAATCCTCGAGTAGCTCCTGCAAGGCCGGAGCTGCGAGCGGCGAGGCCGACGAGGCGACCTGAGAGACCAACGAACTGGTAGAAACAGGCGAGGACACGGTCGCCATGACCCAGGGCATCATATCCTCAGGTGGAGGAGGCGGAAGCGTGTTCCAGTCCGCATGCCAGGGAAAAATCAAACACTGGGCTTGCCGCATAGCCGCGGAGCCAGGACCAGGGATGTGAAATGCGAGCGGAAGGCGTTGACGCCCCGCAGTACCATCCTGCGCTGGAATAGTAACGAGCTTGGAATGAAAGTCGATATTCATTTTCATCTTGGCAATGAACGGTTGGGACAAGATCGCCGGCAGTGATGCTGGAGAGTCCAAAATGAAGAACGTTTCTTGCGTTTCAACATTGGTGCCTGCAATGCGAAACGGCAGGAGGCAGGTTTCACGAAGCACGACCTGGGCGTCGCCATGAGCGAACTGAGCGGTAAGCGTGGCGGGAATTCGCTGTGTGGTCAATTGGAGCTGTCGCGCAACCTGACGCGAGATCACACTGATCTCAGCACCCGAGTCAAGCAAAGCCAGGATCTCGGAAGTAGCAGCTGGCACCGGAGAGGTGAGTGGTACAATGGGCAGATAGAGAAGCGATCCTGAAGACGCCCCGTGCTCCTGAGAGCCAAGGGAGTGGAGTGCAATCGGATGCAAGTGTACCTCGAGAGCGTCACCGTCCAGAGGCACTTCATCTTCCAGTTCTTCAGCAAAATGCACCTGAGGACGGCGCTTAGGCGTCTTCGAGCGAGCAGCAATCTTGTTAGCTGCAACGGACGGAGCAGCCTTGCGGTCGTCGGAAGTCTGAACAGCGCCAAGCAGAGGCGGAGAGGAGGAGTCGGACGACTGCTCACGTTCAGGACTCTGACTGCGGCGGGTACGACGACACTCGGAAGATCGATGTCCGAGTTTGCCACAGTTGTAACAACGGATGGCATTGGTCGATGTGTTTGGGGACGAGGAGTCTCCCGCACTCCTGGCGTCCTGCCGAGCAGCACGGCGCTCTTTGAAGGCCGAAGCCTTGCCAGAAGGACGACTCTTGCGATCATTAGAATTAGAGGAGCGATTGCCCACCTGCATGGAGTAGAGCTGCCGGTGGGGATCTGCTCCCGTCGAATGTTCTTTGGTTCTGGTCTGATTGTCGATCTTGAGCGCGTACTCCCTGAGCTGACGGAAGTCGACATCATCCGAACGCTGTAGAGTCACCCACTGATTCAAGAGTAGAGCAGTCATATGCGATCGGACACCATTAATGAACCGTTTGCAGACCAGTGAGGACGTCGCAAATAATTTAGCTGAAGTTGCTCGATTAAGGTCAGGGTTCGGGCAGCATACGAAGCAAGAGATTCCTGACGGTCTTGATTCAAATTGTCGAGTTGGTGAATGAGATTCGACAGCAGGTGAGGAGGCAGGAATTTTTCACGAATTTCCTCTGAAAATGTATCCCATTCCATGCGGCGAAAGGTCTCTGGCGGGTACTTGGCCACGAAGTGTTGGCGGACTGGAGCATCCAGTAAATCGAGGGTATGGACAACCCAGTTGGCTCGGGGGATACCATACACAGCAAAGGAGTACTGAATGGTTTGAACCCATGTCAAGACATTGTTGGCGCTAGTTTGGCGGGCAGTATCCAACTTGGGGAGATTTCGCAACTTAGCAAGCAGCCAGAGAGACCAGCTGAGGACCGTCACGCGAGGAGATGGGGGGCGGTCCAGGCTTGAGAGCGGCGGGCGGGACCGCCTCAGAAGAAGCAGGAGCTTCGAGAGCGTTCAACCGCTGCTGAACCTCCAGCAGCGCGGCAGACATGTTTTGGAGCGACCGATCCTCGGTCGATTCGGGACGAAGATCGTCGTCAATGCCGGAAGCAGATTGCCAGTCATGTTCCAAAGTATCCGTAGCATTCTCGTCCAGCATGCGAGCTGCGAGTCGAGTATTGTATCCGGACATCTACGCGACGTAAGCGTAGGAAGAAGCAGAAGAACAGTGGAGAAAGGGAGGGGGAGAGAGAAGACTCGATCTCTATCACCGATCACAACCTTGCTACCAATTTTATGTCACACCTCGAAGATTCTCGAGTGGACCTTCAAGCGCAGTTCAATAAGAACTCACGTTGGATTTCTCTACTAAGAGGGAAAGCGGTGAAACAGAAGGAGATCTAACTCTCTTTTATTTCTTTCACACACACACACAAAACAAGACAAGACGATACACACAAAGACGTCTCAACAATCGTGGCACACACACGAAAGGGGAAGAGGACCACCTAGCTCTGACGAGTTTCATCCTTTTATAGCTTCGAGGAATGAGCCAGGGGTGCCGTCTCTTGGCTACAGAAAGGAGGGGTATCCTGTTCTTGGAAGTTGACAAGCATCCCTTCTGACCTTCGAGAGGATACCATGCTCTCTCGCAGGGAAGAGAACCCCGTCCTTGCATGGCAGCAAGCTGCTTCCAACGGGTCGTACTGCACAAGACGCACCCCTTCTGTTTACCTTGTAAGTCCCCCACGGGTACACGGTTGCTGCAACAAAGGCCTCCACAGGGGTCCTTTCAGCAGCTTCACACTGGAGTAGAGTATCCTGGGTCATCCAGGAGAAGTCAGCTTCAAACACGAGTACGAGACAGCCAACTGTCCTTGCCTTTGTCTGACTCGGGCTCGGTTCCTATGAGCTCTGACACCCGGCTCCTAAACCCTAAACCCTAAACCCTAAACCCTAAACCCTAAACCCTAAACCCTAAACCTCTGTGGCTCGGAACGGTCTGCCGTCTATGCAGTATTCTCTCCTGCCTTCCCATAGCTCCATGGCTGCTTCATTCCGAAGGAAGGAGACGGTGACTGAGATGTCGTCTGCTCGTGCTATCTCAGGTCTGTAAGGTGCTTTCCACATGATGGCCTTGTCGACTCCATCGACTGAGTCTACGATGAGACCCAGCTCCATAAGCTTCGATTTCAACTTTTCTTCTTGTCGAACAAACATCGAGGAAATCCCTAGGAGAGTCATGGAGATGAAGGAGGTCCCCTCGGTGCCTTAAACCATGCTCTCGACTCTGAGCTCCATTCGCTCAGAGAGTCTTCAAACAGGTCGCGTCTTGCCTGCCGACATGTCGAGCGGATGGCTTCAGCGATAGCGTCGGGAGTGCATCCCCCCTCAGCTCTGCAAGCATAAGCTGTCCGACTATTCGGATAACGCTTGGTGAAGCTCTTCACCTTCTCGACGAGGTCGGCGGCCTCCTCGACGTGGCCTCCAGAGCGCTCTGCCTGCGTGTATTGGCATGATCTCCGATACAGCAGGTTGCGAACGCTCTCATCATACTGTAGTACCATGCTTAGAAAGCTGTTTGAACGATACAAACCTCTTGCTCGCAGCTTCCACCGGTCCCCTTGCGCTCTCCCTACGCGCCGCAGGCAGCATGCTCTTACTAAGGGCCGGCTGCTCTTACTAAGGGCCGGCTGCTCTTACTAAGGGCCGGCTGCTCTTACTAAGGGCCGGCTGCTCTTACTAAGGGCCGGCTGCTCTTACTAAGGGCCGGCTCATAAACCCTAAACCCCAAGTAGTATTCATCTCTTTGATTTCACGTGCGAAATGGTAGACCTGGCTGAAGACAGTGAAGTTGTGGTTATGATTGAGGGAAAGGACAGACTCTTCTGTCGAGCATGCAAAATTGAGCTGGCAGGAATTGGGCCAAAGGTTACGAAACAGCATTTAAAAAGCAAAACGCACAAACAAAGCTTGCGAGGTCTTGGTGCATCGGAGAGCAATGAATCGGAGAGCAAGCCACATGTGGAGAAGCAGATCAACGCAGGGGATCCAGAAAACTGCAGGGACGAACCGTGTCAGATTTGCCTCAAAATGGGACGAATTGACACACGACACAGCTTAGAGTCGTTCAAGGATGCACTGGAAGCAGGTGAAACCGTCCGCCCTTGCTTCCCTCCCCCGTTTGTTCGATCGCCCAAGAGCCTTTTTCCCGGCTGCAAGCATCCATTCATCACTTTCGAGAGTGGATCTCTTGAAGAGGTTCCTGACAATCTAGAGGACTGCTTGGAGCTATTTTGCAATGCAGGGGCGAATGAGGGGAACAAACCGCCAAACATTGATATCAATGGCGTGAATTTCAAAGCCAAGTCATTGTCTAATGCGCGCAGAACTCTCCTACAAGCAGATGCATCTGGCGACATGTACTGGGCAGCGCTAGTAGTGGATTCCATCAAACATCCTCTATGGTGGCCGCGAAAGGATCGCAACGTGTGTGTAGGAGTCGGGGATGTGCCCAACTTTAATCAAGTGATCATAGGCAGCGGGCACACGGACATAGGGATACACATAGACAATGCTCCTCGACCCTCATCTTGCAGCCAGCCTGCTCCTGGCGAAAAAATTGCTTATGACATGGTCGATCACAAAGACCCGCAGTACTCGTTCTGCTTGAGCGCAGGTGAAGAGAGCGTGCATGTGGATACTTACATTACCATGGCCCGAGGATGTAAATATGTCATCATGCTTCCATCGGGGGGGAATTTCTTTGGCGACAAGCAACCATTCCCCAAGGATGTTGATTTTGAGACCATGTCGAAGATCGTGAACGCAGGAGGATACTATTTCAGTCTTGAGCCTGTTGACCCTGAGCAGCATGTGACTCTGTTCACGCCCAAGTCATGGCACCACTGGCTCCTTGGCATGTCCGACTGGCATTTGATATTTGGTGCCAGTCGCTTCTGACGCGCACCTTTCCATTGGGATTCTTCTTGAAACTTCGCTTCCTTTCCTTCATTTTCCAACAACCTCGTTCTTCGAGGAAGGAGAGGGTCTGTGGTCTTCTTGAGGGTTGAGGCTCTTGTTTCACGTGAGTGTATGCGTGTTATCGCCGCATTGTCTTGTGGAAAGCTGAACGATCGATATCACCACAGAAACAAGGTATACAGTAGAAAACCTGTTTTGTTTGTTTTTGGCCTAAGAAAACAAAAAAAATAATCCAAGAAATGCTAATCTACTCTACAGCTCTACAGAACTGAACGATCCACCTCGTCAGTTGAGAAGTTTGAATCATTCGATGCAGTTATTTGAAGCATGCTGTAAGATTGTGTAGGGATGAAGAGATCGTGTCTCTGGTCCTTGCACGACCTCCACACTGGATAAGATTCCAAGATGTTGCGAATGACCTCCCCACGCCACGGATCTGTTTCAAACCGTTTGATCATCTCGATAGCATGTACTCGTGCTACAGCATAGTCCTGGATACCAGCTGGACCTTCTTCCAGAAGATCCAATAAGACCTTCAACGCACCTGTTCACAGTGAGATGCCGAAAGCCTATCATGAGATGTACCAAGATCAATCAGATGTCGCGATATGCTCGTATCCTCGTGGACCAGGCAAGCGCGGAGAATGTCAAGCGCAGGTATCAATCGCGAGTCTTTGCGATCACGAACAAAGTCAAAGATTGCTTTGATCCCCTGTGACGATATCATCGCTTCAACGCACTCAGAGCTATCAGCTGCGATCCTCAACACCTGCAACCAATGACCTCAGCCATGCCAACCTCAGCGATTCCTTCCATACCTGGAGCAGAATCTGCTCAGACCTGGCACCCTGGACGGTGAATGTTTCGATGCATCTATGAATCCTCTGTATGGATCCAGATTTTGAAAGATGCGAAGTGAGAGAACTTCTTATGCGTACAAAGGTAAACAGAGCTTCTGCAATTCTGTCTAACACCTGCCTGTCGCTGCGGCGAAACTTTGTAAACATGCCTTTTTCATCGAAGAATTCAATCTCCTGAACATCTTGTTCAATCATAATCAAAATTGCATTAACAAGGGCATCAAGAAATCCCGTTGGATTTGGTAGTTTTGCCATCGGATCCTTGACGAAAACATCGATAAAAATGTCTCCCACGATAATCAATCCCTCATACTCTGAAAACTCCATCTTCCATTGTTCGCCTTGCTCCAGGACATGATCTGCTTTGATCAAATCAGAGTGTACCCTGCGCACACTTTCTGTTAATTCGTCCATGCAGGTCTTGTTCCATATGAATTCGGCTGATCGACTAGTCGAATGCAGAAGCATGATACAATCAGCAGGAGATGATAACAAACTGCGTGCTAAAGCAGGAGGGAACCATCTTGACACATCTTTGCAAATCTTCTGCCCATGAAGCGATTCCCTCATAGCACAACAAAGCGTGTCGAGACCTTGCGACAAAGCATGCTGGTCACCCAGAAGGCTGAATGCCAGCAAATCTATCACACCGCCACGCACGCGAAATTCTTCAAGAAAATCTCCATCACTGAGTAACTCCTGCACGCCACTGATGATAGATTTCAAGAATCCATCACAAGTCCTCGCAACTTTCATGAAGAAATCCATCAGACCTGGGCTTTGCAAGGAACGAGCAAAATGCAACTTGTAAATTCTCGAAATGTCAACAACGATCCTTGAAATACTGTTGCAGGCCTTACAGGACACAGAAGCAACGAAAAGGAGAAGAGGAAGCCACCGCAAGCATTGCGCTGCGCAGGGAGGAAAGAGATTTTGATTTTCGGGAGCATTACAATGCAATTGATGCTCATGAACAACAATGGCTCGAACGGCTTCCAAACCAAGGACAAGATCTTCGTCAAAATGTTGCTGACTGTAAGGATACTGAACGCTGACTCTTCCGTAGAAGTCATTCTCCGAGACAGAACCAGCGAGATCTTTCCATGAGTCAGCAAGCATTAGCGACACATGCTCTCCCGCATGCTGCAGTAGCTTTTCAACATCATCGTTCCTCTGCAGGTGCTTATGTATGAATCGGAGGATGCAATGACACAACTTGTGTCTGTTTGCGACGTCATCGCAAGCGCCTTGTGCCAGAAGACGTAGATATGTACCAGAGATGTATAGCTCGTTGAGAAGATTTTCATATATCAAGTCTTGACCGCAGGAGTGCAAATATTCTCCTCGCTTACTTGTGATATAGGATTGCAGTCGTGTTCGCATTTGCATATTCCATAGACAGGAAGGAGACTCAGATCTTGTTGAGATGATAACAAGAATGTCTATGGCTTTTTGTGCTGCGTATTGCAAGGATTGATTGTGATGAAAACCCATTTTACTTGCCTCCATTTCAATCTCATCACAAAGAAAGATCACACGAGATCCAAGAGAGGGTGTCAAACATGAGTTGAGATCTTGACGCAGCGATAAACTTGACGGGCTTAAGGAGCCATCTTCTTCCAGAATGTTTGACCACTTGGACAGCATCCACAATGTCAAAACTCCGTGCCAGTTCTGAATTGAAGCAATGTGTTCATCGAGTAGGAAAGGGGGCATCTTTGTATATTGAGATGTTTCTAAGTTCTGCTCAAGATATTCCTTAGCAAGTCCCGCTCCAACTTCAAATGTGAATAGAATTGCAAGAAAGCTCCAAAAACTCCCGCGAGCCAACAATTCTTTGACGATGTCCTTGAACTTGGAAGCATTGAGACAGAAGTATAGAGAAGCAGTTATGAGGGCAGGAGATTGATCGAGTTCTAGAGAGTGATGGATATAAAGAAAAAGTGAATCCCGAGCTTGAGAGTTGAGATCTGAATGAAAGAGTCGACTCTCTACCTCCTCGTTGTCAACTATTGCGCTCAAAGCTTGGCAGATGAATGCGGATGCCCGGAGTCTCAGGTCTCCTCTCTTAGTGGAGCGTTGCAAATCTGATAACCATCTTACCAAGCCCTCCTTAAGCAGCGGGTAACCGCCGGATAATACATATTCCTGAGCGTTCCCGCGGTCGACTGATATTGACAGCGCGATGAGTTCAAAAGCAGCACACAGGAGCTCAAAATTATCGCGCAATCTCTCCCTCTCTATCAGCTGACAAAGCGATTGATAACATGGATAGCGATAGACCGATAACGACGTCCCGCATCTCCGATAGAGAATCGATTGTGCTCGGAGAAGCAGGTGAATCTCCTTTGACCGAAGTGAAGAACCACCATGAGAATTGCTCTCTAAGTAAGCCTTGGACAAATACTCGTAAGCTGATTGAATTTCTTCAAACTCAGCCCTTCCATTTGGATTCTTATCTGGATGTAGTTGCACCGCAAGCTTCTTGTAAACTGCGCGGATCTGTTGCATGTCATCCGTCTTCTGGAGGCCAAGCTTCTTGAAAGCAAGTTCAGACGTCATGGTTGAAGATGTCGAGCCTTGCGCATTCTGCTCTGTCCATCTTTCAATGATAGATCGTAAAACTTCGAACGGCTCGTAGATTGGCCAGTCAGGAAAAAGATCTATATTGCAAAGGTTCTGCAAGTAGAAGTTGTGACACCAGACCTCCTCTTGCAGCTCGGCATATTGAATTGGACTGAGCAGAGGGGTGTAGTCATACTCGGTAAGGACATTCTCTCTCAGGAGACAGGTGAAGTCAGAGATATGTCGTGAAATCTCATCAATCAGGTGCCTCCGCATGTTGTTGTGCCATATGGCCTCGGGATTGTTTGTGTCACCAAGAAACCTGACATGTAGAGTCATTCACAAGAAAAAACTTCAAACAGACCTTACATCTCCGAAAATTTATCTGGAGGATGCCGTTGAAGGAAGCAAATGAGAGACTCAGGAAGGAGATCGTGTAGAATGCTTCTGCTCGCAGAAAAGGAATTATCCATGGGCGAGTCCCTGCGATAAAAGTCTTGATCCATGTGAGTCTTTTTCAGGACTGATGATATCCCATATACATTTGAACGTTGATAGGCAAGGAGAAAATAAAACAGTCCTGTTTTGTAAAGCTTTCGTAGAGAGATTGTATCACCTGAATTAAGCATTTCCAGAAGTAGATTGATGGTTTCATCCACAACTTTCTCATGCCCACACAAGGTGAGCTGAACGATATGAGAAAGACAAGATTTTGACCAGAGAATTCGCTTGATTCTTGGAATAGGAAGAAACGGAAGTCCGTTCTCATTGAACGACGGAAACGTTTTACACAGTTTGTAGATCAATCTCAATACCGTAACACTGACATCGACGTTGTTCATCCCTTTCCCTCGCAGCCCAACGGTGAGATAGAGCTGCGGGATCTCAGAGAGAGGTTTCCACTGATCCTGCCCCTGAAAGCATGAAGATGTAAGGTCAAGAACAAACGTGAATTATATTAAAGCACACCTTGAGGCGAAAGAAGGAACCAGGCTTGATCTTCTGTGCTCGTAAAAGTTCTTGAATCTCCGAAAGAAGACAAGCTCGACCTTCTTCCAGCTCGGAACAATACCAGAACCTGTATTCTTGTTGCTTGTATGATGTCTCTTTTCCGGCCTCAATCATCTTATCTGTCTTGATGACTTGATTCCCAGAGTGACGCTCCACCTGAACACATGCAGCAAGTTTAATCATCGCTGAAACTCCATCGCATGCAATGAATTCATCACAATTTGTCCGGAACGAAAACAACTCATCGAAACAGGTCAAGATGGCATCTCTCACTCCTCTGCTACATGTTTGCATGAGCATATGCACCAAATGCTGTACTCCGTAAAACGCTCGATCGCTCCACAATGTAGATAATTGTTCGCTCTTATGTCGGCAAAGCATCGTCATCACCCCAAGACAAATCTTTCTCTCCTCGTCCTCGCTAGTTTCCAGCATCTTTCGATATAAACTTTGGAAAAAGGTTGCGGGGTCGTCAACTTGATCCATCACTTTCTTTTCATCTCCGTTCTCAGCCACCTTCAAAATTTTGCTTCTTCAGAATAAAAAAAGAAACGATCGATCCTCTACCTTCAAGGCTTCTTTAAGAAAAAATCCCTCGACGCATATCAGCTCATCAAGACAAGGGTACTCAACAAAGAATTCTCTATAATTCCAGCAGAGAGCACTTCTACCATCTCGCTTACCAGCCAGACCATTCCATTGTGACAGATGTTCCAATTGAGCTTCAATGCAATCTCTCAGTTGCTTTCGAGATTTGTCATTCCAGCAGTATAAAATGCCATTCTTGTCTTGACGTAGCCTAAGTGCGATTGTAAGACATATCAAAGAAAATAGCGAAGCATGAGTACATTGCAATAAAATCTTGCCATTCTTCTCTCTTCCTCTGGCGCAACACGTAGAGTGTTTCCCTCGATTCACCTTGTGATAATTGATAACATGCCGGATGAGATATCTGAACCGAATCGCTCAAATCATGAGGATGAGAACCTGCTTTAGAAATCTGGTCGCCAGGACCTGCCTGCTTAAATTTTGTTTCCTCTTGTTTCACGAGAGTTCTCCCTCGGACTTGTACCTCCGCATCTTCCATCTGCGGAGCGAGAGAAACCATTCCACGAGGTAGAATACGACGAATCAATGCAACAGTTTCTTTGTTCCCTTCAATCCAAACTGCCACCATCCTGATGGAGAAACAGGTCAAATACATAGTAAACTCTACAGCACTCACTTTGCAGAGACGATTCTTTGTTCCTGATCAGGATGAAATAGAGCAGTATGAAATTGACGGAGCAAGGCTCCTTCTCCGTCTTCCAATGCAGATTGCGACATTGAAGTGACAAAAGAATCGTCGGATGAGCAGACAATCTGCTCAAATAATGACCAGGTGATTGAAGAGATAGGACGAGACTTGTGACTCAGAAGGCTAATCATCATGCTGTTGTCTGCAAGAAGCTCTTTTAGAATCTGAATGATTTCCTCTGAGGTCGTGAGGTTGCCGGGGTTGCAAAGTAGGCAATGAAACAACTTGAGCGTTTCCATTAGTATGCAAGCAGAACCACTTTTCGCATCCAAACTGTGAAGGTAAGCTATGCTTTTTAGGTGGTAGCATAGATTCTTCGAAACCATCACAGATTTCAGGCTCCGCTGTAAATCAGACCTGTTCTTGAAGTCTTGAGCTTCAGTTTGCGGTGGAGAACAAATTATTATCAAAGTTGTAAGAGTACAAATCTGTATTTCCTTGTGGTTCGAACTTAAGCTCATCATCAAGAACTTGACAAAGCCAGAAAAAGTGTCGAGGAAATCAGAGAAAATCTTCAAGAAAGCAACAAACCCCATCTTGTTCTGCAAGAGAAAGCAGAGGGCATTCAACAGCACAACAAGATCCGTGTTGTCTCCTGTGTACAAAGAGCTGATCCCCCCCAACTGCTTTACAACACAGCTCACTGCCATCTCAAAGTCTTTGGAATCAAGAGTACCATTGACAGCAATATCTGAATTGTTCGAACAAAAATCCATCGCTGCTTGAACGACATACGGGTTTAACAAGTCGTGGTCATCTCCTCCAATAAGCAGTCCGCTGTCAACCAACGAAGCAAGACGTTTCAGCACGACAGACTCAGCAAAGATGACGAATTCAGGAGATGCACTGTAAGGAACCATGCGAGAGTGCGCCATCACTTCTGACGGCATTACGCGTGTCCCACTGGAATGAAATCTTGCGTCATAGAGAATTGATTCTAAAGCTACCAGCAAAACATCGCGATTCGCAGTTTCATAGATATGAGCTGAACCATCATCAAAAACCAGACAAAATCGTTGAAGCTCATGTAAACTTCTCTGCACACTGACAAGAGACGACAGCGCCCTGCACACGTTCACTCTCATGGTATCAGCCTGACATTCAAGGATTTCTTTGCCAGTCAGCAGCAAGACAAGAGGCTCAGGAGAAGCCTTTCTCCACGCCCTGCACAGACCATCAGACTCTTAGAAAAGCAACAAGTGAAATCACGTTTGACCCACTGCCGCCTTAGGTGATGGAAGCTTCTGCACTGGGCAGCTGTCGAGGGCACACAACCTGGTTCGATCAAGACTTATGGCCTCTTGTTCGAGCTCCGTGAACGAAACTGAGCATCCAAGATCAAGATTACTGCCTATCTTCAAACAATTTCCTTTAATCGTGTTGATGACTGAATCTCTCTCATCACATGTGAAGATATGCCATTGGAACCTGCGTCATAGTCAAGTCGACATCTTCAAGAATGAAACCTGACATGTATTTGAGTGCGAATCCCCCAGGTGTATCGCCCAATCTTCTGAGTTTTTGAATTGCAAACAAGGCTATGTCTTCCAGCACTTCTCCGTCGCCTTTCGAGATTGAGAAAGAATAAGGTCTGATAAGCAGCTGCACTTGAAGCCTCGGTTGACCGTCCCAAACTTTCCCATAAAGAGCCATGTGGACGCTTGGGTCATGCGACTCCCCCAACACAGCATCACGCATAAAAAGAGCCTCGCTTAGTAATTTGCTCCTATTCGTGCATGAGATGACCCATCGTGACTCTATGTCTCCAGTCATGCCAATCACGCGTTTCATCGCCGAAGCTTTCGACTTTACCTGCTTGCCTACATCACGAAGAGAGCTAGTTCGTATCACCAGCATGCAGCAATCACACGGAGAGATGAGAATAATGCGAGTGTAGGACACATGTAGGGGAAGCATCAAGTGATTCTGCTGCTTTAAAACTCACCGTAATGATGATGTCGTCAGGATCTGTAGCAGATGGAGCAAGACACAGACTATCCTCGAGGAAGGACCAGCTCCAGCTTTCCTTCATAGTAAGAGGTTCAACGAGCGAGACTCCTTGGCCTTGGAGGTGCAAGAGCAGCAGCTTCTTGCGGTATAGCGAGCCCTTCACCGCTACCACCTGATGACTCGCCATAGCGCAATCGGCTACTAGCTGTTTGACTAGGCGTCGCACAACAAACGTAAAATACATTTATTGCAAGGAGGGTGGGGGCAGGGGTGGGGGTAGAGGGGTGGGAAAGGAGGGGTATGCAAGGATAACAAGAATAGCAGACAAGGACAAGAGCTAGCCGGTCTGCTAGCCGGTGCTACGAGCACAAGAAAGACGAGCAGCTGCTCGCATGACGTGACATAGAGCAGAGGCGTGAGACCCGGGGAAACAAGACTGAGAGAAGCAAGGATGAGGGTTCTAAGGGACAGAGCATTCGCGTGACACCTCCAGCCTTGACGGCAGTGTAAAATGCTGGCCAATGAACTGATTTGTTACGATATCGACGCTAAGTGAGCGAAGAAATACGAAAGAAATGACTGGTTTCTGCCGAAAAGGAGGAGAATTCACCGTTCTCTCATCGTGCATCATTGGAATGTTCACACTAGAAATATTGTGCTTCATTGCAATTTTCTTCATTTCAGCTTCACTCAAGCGGTTTGAATGTAAGTCATGACTTGCTGATTGTTGGCATTCTTTCAGTTGGTTGTGACTATCTTTTTTCTTGATAGATGAGAATCTATGGATCTATACCCTCCCTTGGATATCCGATACCATCGAGCTCAATCCTGAAAGTGGTATAGCAAACTGCATCCTTGGGCCGTGCTCTTCTATGTTTGTACTTGTGATCTACGTATGGCATCGAAGATGTAAGGCAGCAATGAAGTTAAGCACAGCATTCACGCAGCATGTACTTCGATTCAGCTGGCTTGCTGTCCTCTTTTCGATTCTGCAGTGCATTTCTTTGCACGGGGTAATTGGTTTCAAGATCTTTTCCAGTGCTTCAGCAGTTCACCTTTCCATGGCTTTCATTTTCATCTTTTGCTCCATCGCTGTCATGATTGTTGTGACGTTCATTGAATGGAGGGGAGGTTTATGCGGCATCAAGCTATTCCTTGTGCGATTTCTTCTGTGCTTTTTGTCGACAATAGCCTTGCTAATGTCCATTGTTGCATTCTTTACAATCTCGTGCTCTGCCTCAAGAATTAGCAATATCCAGTACAATGGTTGTACAAAAGTACAATTAAGCACATATTGTTTGAATCATTTGTTAGATGATTCAAGGATGTGTTGGATGGCACCGCTTCTGGAGTATGTGCTCGTGTTGAGCTTGATCTGCTTTGGATTCACTCTGAGTGTGTCGTTCGCTAACACACGAGTCAAGGTCATTGTTCGTGATGACAGCTTCCGAATCAAAAACTACTTCTGCATGGACGTCGAGAGAAACGCTGAAAGCGCAACTTTGCATGGAAATCAGTTTGATTCTCCATCATCCAAAGATCGTGATAACGCAGCGGAGCTCCTCAACACCAAATCCGACTTTTGGCAGTCAAAAACTTTTCAGCGGCTTAAACATCTACGTAAAGAGAACTTAATCTCGGGGCAAGTGGAGTGGCTGTTGGAGGCTCTCTTTATTTCAATGGAGGTATGCACAATCTACTCCTGTCCAAGCTTGACTTGCTTGCATAGACGGATGCAGAAAGCCCTGATGATTTTCTTTTGTCTCGCCGGATCAATAAGCTTTTCGCCAGGTTCTATTTTACGAGCTTGCTGTGTCTAGGTAACCTTTTCTACAGACAGCGGAGGATAGAGGCGGCGCAAAGGCGACTGAAGCAGACGTCGAAAAATGGAGGAGAACATGCGGGGGTTCAACCAGATTCGTCAACAGAAAGTGAAGACGAAAGCGATCAGGACAACAAGGGGAACATTGAGGTTTCCGGTGCCAGCTTACAGCCTGTTGACAAAGTTGGAGCACAAGCGTCTGTCATCAGAGACAGGATGTCGCAGGCAGATCGATGGAGAGAGGAGTCCATCCCGGATATTCAAGATCTGTCTGAATTTGACCCAATTTCTCCTGTGCGTTGCACCATCCACTTAAACCCCCCCTTAACCATCTGCTTGTGTAGGCTGTGACCCTCGAACAGAGAAGAAGGCTCAAGGCGATGAAGAAGGCTCTGTCAGCTCGAAAGGTAACTGTCGGTTCTGGCTCATCCTCGTTGACATCTCTCGGTAGCCACGAACTCCACATGAGGCATGGGAAGCTCATCTCCGGCAGCTTCAGGTCACGACTTCGCCGCCAAACCCTCACCCGCAACCTCCTGCAATTCCACCAATCCGTCCACTTGCTCAACCACCACAACCTAGAGAAACTAGTCGATCCAATGGGGTGAGTCCTGTAGTCCGACTCGTCAGGTTTTGACTTTTTATTTTGTTTCTGCAGCCACAACTTGCTACTAAGTTGAGGAAGCAAGACCTTTCTTGAGCTGGCCCATCATTTCAACGCTAGAGTAATCTATGTGTATCCGAGACTTTGGATGGCTTGTGCCCAACACAGCAATGCCTTAACGGCACTTTGACGGCGAGCATCCCTGTAGATCGCAACAGCATGAGCCTTGACAAGTTGTTCCTCCATTGGTGAACCTAGCACAGCAATCACCGAAAGGTTTAGACAGAGTCTTGAATACTCACAGCTTGCAGTCACACTGGGAAGGGTTTGACGAGGAGAGATAGTTTGAATAATCCCTCCAGTGCATGTCGCAGTAGCCTTCTGACGACGAGCCGTTCTTTGCAGTTCTGCACCAGTTAAAGCCGGAAGCTTGACAGGCGCCGCATAAACACTCGCGTGAGCAAACCATTGTAGCCAATCGAACCGGTTGCGGAGACAAGGCCTACAAGAGACCGAAGAGTCAAACGGGTCAGCATGACAACCTCTTCTTACCGGGATAGATTGCAAAACAAAATTGGAGTTGTCAGTCTGCGAACAGAAGGTCCTCTGAGATAAAGCAGCCTGGGTATCATAACACCAAAAATGATCATTTCCAGTACAATCCGAGCAGCTCATGCAGTTGCGAGGACAAACTTTACTGTAATGACAAGAGTTATACCAAGCAGGTGGATTCAAACATCAATACCTGCACTGATTGCAAAAAATGTTGCTTGTCACGGTCTTCGTCACAATCAACAGAGATCCAACGACGATCACGACCGCGAGAGCCAGCGAGACTGAAATTCGATTGAAATTTCTAAAATTCGAAGTCAATTTCATTTCTAACAAAATAATGCCTTACCGTGTCATCTTGTCTTTGCTCCGAAGCCCGCCTCCAATAAAAAGACCTCCAATCCACGGAAAGTAGAGAAGGAATCCAAAAACCAAAGCAAGCGAGGAAAGACGACGATTTCGTTCCTTCATTTGGAACTCGTCCCAGTCATCTTCGTCACCTACAACTATTTGACTGAGGGCTGACGTGTCATTGTTGACGCCTTCAACATAATTTTCGTTTATCTTTGAAACCCATGCTGTTTCATCGTCTTCGAGCTCAAAGCTCACTGGCCGTGCTTCGGTCCTTCCTAGAATGTGTTGGATCACATTTCCAAGTCTCCCTTGAATGCTGCTGCTCTCAATGCCGTCAATCATCTCGTTCTCGTTCTCCAAGGCAACCATCACTCGCTTGTTCTTGTCTCGTGCTTGAGCAACTTGGTGCATCTCAGCGACATCTTCGGTGATTTCTAGAGCTACATCCTTTTTAACATCTTGCGAATCAATGTTATTGTCTTCATCAGAAACCGACCTGTTTTCATCCTTCTCCTTGCGCTCGCGTAGAAAAACTTCCAGTTCTGACAAAGCCCATCGCCCGACTGTTGTGTCCATTGATCCTGTAAGTGCAAATCGACCATTCGGGTGCAATGCAAGGGAGGTGATGCGGCGGTTATGACCGTCATGTTGAGCGATGACTCTACCTATCTCAACATCCCATACTTCAATTCTTGTTGAATTTGCAGAAAAGCTGATGGCAAAATCTTCATTTCTGACGAAGCGGAATGAACATAAATCAGCGTACTCTGATCGGATGATTTTCTTCGGTCGTCCTGACTTGAGATCCCACAGCCGGATGGATTTGTCATCCGAGCACGACGCGATGGTTGAATTCAACACAGTCACATCCCGCACGGGCCGAGTGTGGCCATATAGCGTGTTTGCCGACTGTTCGTTCTCCCAAGACCATACCCTCACATCATGATCGTGTGAACCGGAAACTATCTGAAAACAAAATGTCACTTGCAAAATTGAGGCTATAGAAACAAATTACCGTGTCAAAAGAAATTCCCAAACAAGATATCGCAGCTCGATGACCTTGCTTCCTGTGGACGAGGTTTCCGGAAGCAATGTCCCACACAGAGATCGCTTGCTGCTCTCCAACTATCAGGGCATCTCTCTGTGAGAAAAAAGAGATGCATTCGACATCCGATGCACATCGAAATTCGTGCAGCAGCCTACCAGTCGGAGTATCCCATATTGACAGATTGTAGTCAACTCCACATGAAGCACAAAAGTTACCATCTGGTGATATCTTGACCAGGGTCGGCCTTGAGCTTGCACCCTGCAACTCCATATACAATTCCATCGAAGCGCAATGCCAAACATGGACCAATCCATCGGATGAGACACTAATGGCCAAAGAGCCATCATCGCAGATGTCAACCGACAAAACCTCGCTCCGATGTCCCTCGTAATGATACACAGAAAATCCTATCTGCTCCTTGAGATTGTTCAGGACCTGCAGATCCCAGACGCGAACGGTGAGGTCCCAAGAACAAGATACTGCAAACCTTGCATCGGGCGTCATCTCTAGATCAAATATTTTATCTTCATGCGCTCGAATTGTCCCAATCTCACAATTTCTATCCAAGTTCCATAGCTTTATGGTCTTATCAAAACTACAGCTTGCAGCCAGTTTGCCATCATCACTTACACAAACCGATCTGATATCATCATTGTGACCCAACAGAGTTCCTTTGCAAAGTCCACTATCAAGGTCCCAAACCCTTACAGTCCGATCGTTTGAACAGGATAGCAAAGATTTGTTGCTGAATCTGATACTTCGGATGATTGAAGTGTGTCCTTTCAATCGCCGAATCAGAGTGAAGGTAGAAAGATTCCAGAGAAGAATCTTGCAATCTTTGGAACAAGAGGCCAGTATGGTGTTTGAGCGATTGATTGAAAGCCCCCGCACTATTCCATCGTGCTTCTTAACCTCACCATGTCGCGTGCCAGAAGCAACGTCCCACCACAAGATCTTCTTTCCTTGCCCCGTGTATAAAGATCGTCCATCCCCAGTCAATTTCACACAAAAAACTTCGTCTTCATGGTCCAAAACTCGCGAAAGTTTCCCGTCAAACGTCCAGATTCTTGCAGTTTTGTCTTTACTCCCTGATGCTACGTACCAACCATCATTAGACATATCTATCGCCCAAACCCAATCATTATGCCCAAGGCACACAGCAACCGTCTGCCCAATGGAGAGATCCCACATTCTGACCGTACAATCCACCGAGCTGCTGCAGCATCGTAAACCATTCGAGGAGATTGAAACACTCAAAACTTCACTAAAATGGCCTTTGAGCACGAATTTCGGAAAAATATCAAAAAATTGCAAAGGCTGAGACCGGGTTCCAGATTGAACAATCGATTGATCCTCGAGTTCAGACTCGGAATCAAACGCATGCGCAAAAACATTCAAGCGACCTGAGCTCGATATCGGAACAAAACTACTAACATCTCCAGATATCAACGAACGATTGGAAGGCGGACCAAAACGAGAAAAACTGAAAGTATCCAGAGACCAGCAAAAAAGAGTCATGTCCCAAGAGCAAGATACCACCGTCCCCCCGCCCCCCGCAATGCACACCCCGAACACCTTGTCGCTGTGCCCCGTCATCGCCTTCACCTCCCGCCCCTGCTCCAGGTCCCACACTCGCACGCTCCTGTCGAAGCTGCACGTCGCTGCCAGCCTCCCGTCTCCTGACGCCGACACCCCTCTCACGTCGTCCTCGTGCCCCGTCATCACGTGCTCGCACCGCCCGCTCCCTATGTCCCACACCCGGATCTCCCGGTCCTGCCCGCATGATACCACCCGCCCGCCCCCTATCGACACCCCCCGGATGACCCCCTTGTGCCCCCCCCCCCCACACTCTGCCGTCAGCTTCCCCGTCTCCCACACGATCACCGTGAGG